TGAGACAAAAAGTATTTAGAACATCAGATCGTAGAACAGAACAAGTCTGTGCAGACATTTGTCCGGGGTCAGTGTCTCTTCACAATCAATCAGTTATAAGGAACATCAATTTTATTTTTCTTCATTGGTTACATAAAAGATTCTTAACATTTCTTCATTTGTTTTGTTTGGGAAAATGGATTAAGTGGAGTGTCAAGTTTAATGGCGTGGGTGATATCTGCCCTTTGTGCACTCAACAAGCGTTACAATCAGATGGAGGGCGCTGCTGCAGGTATCATAGCAATATAGTTCTTGATCAGCATCCCTGAATTTATCATATATTTTATGGTCAATCTCAAATGTTCATGGTTGAGAAATTTTTCAGTTTCTGAAAATATAATACAACTTTGAGTCCAGGTCACTTGAAAACTTAAAAGATTATCACAAATTACACAATTGCTTAAGTACAATGCCAAAATATACATCATGATTTTCAAAAAAAAAAAGGTACCATAGACAAAGCATTGATAAGTACTTTTAAATATTTAACTTTGAATTACAGGTGCAGGTGATCGTTTGATGGACCTGACTTCTCGGGATGGAGACTGGTTTCTGGATGAATTGTGCAGTATGAGCAGTAACATCATGCATTACATAGAAATCCTCAAGGTCAACACATCAGTTCAGGATCTAGAACATTTCATCTTGTTTTTGGCCCTGACCTCTACACATAATGTGTACACTGCCCTACAGGTATGCAAATCACTGGAAGCATTTACTAGGTTCCTGTCAATTTAACAAGAATGATGCACAACTAACAATTCAAGTCCATTTCAAGTTTATAACCTACATATTTGTGTCAATTTTAAGCAGTTGTCTTGAATACTGTAGATCACTTTATTTATGCGACACCTTATTTTCGCGATATAGTCATTGGCTCTTTATTAGTGAGACAAAATTTTCATGAATTGTGGTCATCGCTCTATATAATCGTAAGAATTAAATTTTCGCGAGCATACCGTCTCGTGTAATTACGCGAAAATAAATTTCTCGCAAATAAAAAGTGATTTACAGTATGTTAAAAAATAAATTTTAATTCCAAAAGGAAATGTTTGTTTAAACTCCCTCTCAATTTTATGATCTCTCTGAAAGTATTAAAATTAAATTTTTTTTTCCATTTTATCTCCCCAAAAAATTTTTTAGCACTTTCTTTTGTGTGTTTCAGGATTTAAACCTGAATTTTCGTTCGTTTTCTGCCTGAGGCTCTGAAGGCCATACAGGGAAAAGAATGTGAGTGTGGTTAAGGCCCTACAAGACTTGGAGAAGCTGTTCTCTGATGCCAGTTACCCCATCGAAACTGTCTTTAAGCTGAACACTGCACAGGAATGCCATCATGGGAAATGAGGTGAGAAATATACAGCTGACCATCCAATGGATTTTACTTAAAATCAGTAGAAGTGAAAGTGAAAGTCTATAAGATCAAATCAAATGATTTTTCAGTAGGAATGGGGGTTGTAAAGAATTTTAATAGAAATTCAGAATTTTTTAGATAAATATAGACAAGTACAGAAAATTTCAATCCTGATGGTACATGTACTAGGGAAATATATTCACTTTTTTCATGAGCCAGATAAAACAAACTCAAGTCCTTATTTACCAGTTCCTGAATATCTTTATGAGACAAATTAATGAAGAGTTTGGTTGCTCCTGAAAGATTCACAGGTGTTCATAATGAGTAAGATACATTTATTATCATTAAACAATTGTTTTGTTTCCTTCAGAATGATAACTTGGAGATGATGCGGTGGTAAAGAGGATGCAGGGGGGTACCAGGAGATCCTGTCAGGGTCCGGGGAGGACATGTCCCCCCGGGGAGATGCTCCTGATGGGATTCAATGGACTCTTCACTCGCCTGGGGGGGAGGAATTCACCGGACTGATGGAGGCCATGGACTCTCTTCTATCCCCGACGTCTGGGGAAAAGTGGATCAGTGAGAGAGGGAAAGGCAATGCAGGTAAGAGTCATCACTGTGGCTGTAGGGTCACTGTAACTGGAAATCTAGCTGTCAGATGGTAAAACTTGTGAAAATCAAGAATTTAGCTACAAAGGATACTAAAAGTAAAATGCTTGGTCATGATTTTGTTTAACATGCTAATAATAGGGAGATCCATATGTAATTCATTAAGTGATCCCCTAAAAACGAGATATTTTGAGTAAATTTTGAATCTATTTACAAGAGTTTAGGCCTTTGCAAATATTGTCAAATTGAAGTTTCTGATGATCTTTGAACATGGCCCATGAGATTACTTTTCCTTTCTGTTTACAGCTTTCCTCCTTCACCAGCAGTACCAGACATTATCTGTCCAGCCTCTTCTTTGTCAAACGACTGCAGACCATGCAGGCTTTCTTCCATATGTGCACCCAGTATTTGCCCCAAACTTAAGGTAAGGTTTACAGTAATTCAGCTGTAGTCAATATTTCATCTGTTAAAATTTAAAAAAGACCTCTGTATTTTGAAGTTAAATAATATTCCTTCATCCCTATGATTTCTTTTGCCAGGGAAATTTAGGGTGGAAATTGCTATGATGATGAACAGTTGTCAAGACCAGTTAAGCGCTACATTGCTGAATATGTTAGAAAACAGGCAAGTAGTAGTATAATATCTTTTATTTCTTGTAAGAGTGTCGAGAAATATTCTGCCCAAGATGTGAGGAACAAAAATTTGATTATTTAATCAGTAATGACAACTTTTTAAATGTTGAAATTGCAGGTGAGAGGATTCCCATCTCAAGTACTGGGTTACATGTTATGTGTGTTCATCGATGCCCTTGGTGTGAATGTGACAGCCGAGATAGAGTTTAAGGACATTGGGGCTGAGTTTAAGAGTCCCCTGGAGGACCTGAGGAAGAAGGCCGTGGACATTTGTCTGAGGAACAGCCAGTTCCAGCACGTGCACTTCACCCAGGCCAGCACCATTGTCAGTGCCCTGGACTCGGTCTGGAGGAGACACGACCTGGCTAGGTGAGGGAGGGCTTAATGTGATTCATTGGGGCTATTCTATTTGCTTACCTGATTAAAATGTCAAACCTCATTATCTTGAATTGATGGGACCAAAAAGCAGATATCCTAGGGTTTGAAATATTGAGTGTAAAATACATACAGAACTCACTTTGACATATGCCTGATATTCAAGATGTCAAAGTTCAAATTAGATATAATTTTGAGTTGTATAGATATCCCTACAAAAATCATTTCTCTAAATGCATTGATTAAATGGTTAATTTTATTTCTGCAGGAGGAATTAGACTCAAGTTCAGTGGTGATGAAGAACTGTCTCCAGAGATCACAACTTCAGCTGGCACGAGTTCAGTGGCTCCACGAGGACCTGTTTGTGAATGCTGGGCGCCACCTCAACCAGATGGTGATGCCCAACAGAAGCTACTGTCATGTCAGAGATGAGAAAGGTATGTGTAGACAGATGCTCAAGTGATAATCTAAGTCACCCTGTACAATATTTTCAATGGAAATATTTGCTTCTGTTTATTTCTCCCTTTTTTGCTTAGTTGTAAGTTGAATTCAAAAATGAGTTGAACTCAACAGAAGTATAACAATAGAGAGGTTAAGCATTAAACGTGTACGTCTACGTGTACGTGTAAACATAGAAGTGATTTTACACGTACACGTAACTAACGTCATGGCCTGTTTAACAAACTGTACGTGTACGGGTTCATGTAAAACATTTTGTTATAACATATTTCATTGGATAAAAAATCGAAATAAACGAATCAAAATGAGTGTTTCTTCTCTGTGATTGTAACTTAAATGGGGCGAAAATTTGATGTTACTTGCGTGTCTGGAGGAGGACGATGACCTTCTTTTGTTGGCGAGTGTGGACGATGAAAAAGATTAGTGAGTCTATCAGAAGTTAGAGATTGATGAACTAAGCAATGACCAGTTCCGTAATTTGTTTAGATTTCAAAGAGAAGATATGAATAGTTTGTGCGAAGCGTTAGATTTACCAAGCAAGATTGTGTGCCCAAACAGGACTGTATGTTCTGGAACAGAGGGTTTGTCTATTCTCATTCGCCGATTAGCGTACCCAAATAGATTACAAGACCTCTCGCATATATTTGGGAGATCAACTGCTGAATTGTCATACATTTTTAACACTGTTCTCAATTTCATCGATACAAGGCACGGACACAGAATTGAGAGTTTAAATCAACCTTGGTTGTCGCACGCAAAGCTGGATGAAATGGCCACAGCAATAAGTAACTGCGGAGCCCCGCTGTTAAATTGCTGGGGTTTTATAGACGGAACGGTGAGGCCAATTTGCAGACCCCAATCTTATCAACAGTTAGTGTTTAATGGCCACAAGAGAGTCCATGGTCTTAAGTTCCAATGTATTACGACACCTGACGGAATGATAGCGCATCTCTTTGGTCCTATTGAAGGTCGACGTCATGATGCCGGTATGTTACGAGAAAGCGACGTTGAGCATCAACTGCAACAATATATGACAAAGGCAAATAATGATGTGTACTCCATCTACGGTGACCCTGCATACCCTTTATCGCCTTACCTAATACCTTCATTTCGAGGAGGGGTAATCTCAGCGAATCAGATGCGCTTTAACAAAAGGATGTCGGCAGTGAGAGTGTGTGTTGAATGGACTTTCAGCAAAATTTTGAATCTCTTTGCATTTCTTGATTATAGAATCAAAAGCTGTATTTACAGCCTGTTTGAAAATATTATAGAGTTGCGTCAATCCTGACAAATTGTCACACTATACTCTATGGGAGCGAGACCGGTACATTCTTTGGTATAGATCCGCCATCCCTGCAAGAGTATTTGGCCTAATACTTCCACCAACTACTAAATACATGTATGTTTACATGAAAATAGATGGTTACATGGAAAGGAACTAAACAGAAAAGATTTTAAATGTGCATTAATTTATTAATGTGTATAATTTATGCTATCACGTACAATTCTTGTTTATTTATCTTTCGTTCATTTCTTCAATAAGTCAATAAAAGCAAGTTTTCCTGCTTTTCGATCTCCATTCTTTGCATCCTCTCCTGTCTATCCAAATCAAATCTGGCTTTTTCCAATTTTAGTTGCTCCTTCCTGAACTCCATGTCGTCGTTTTTTGTTTTCACTTCAAGCTCTGTTTTTTCTTTTAAATAGTCGACGATGCAAGTTTGTGAATTTTTCCTTTTAGGTGCTCCACTCTCATCATCTGAAAAAAATTAATATTTTTTAAAACAAATATATGCACCTTTAAATATATACAATGGAGATACATGTGATCAAAAAGTGTTATAGTTAACACAACAAATCAATACTGTCGTGTGTTGTGGGGGGGGGGGGGGGGTACAGTAACCTATGAAAAAAACTAAATGTAGTTTGTAACTTTAGCCTGTAATTTACTTGTAATTGCAAATAATTTACCGGTATTTATCAGAAAATACACAAATTAAAAATTTATGAGATGATGTAAGCAGAAAAGGTTTCAAAAATACCAAATCAACGTGATATATCATTAATATGTAGAGAAAACAAGTACATACACATACCTTTCTTTGGTGTTAAACACTCTAGGGCCCTCTTTCTTATCTCCTTCCCCATGTTATCAGATCTTTCTTTCTTTTCTTTTTCTTCTTTCTTTCCCCGTTCCTCCTCATCTTTTAACTCAAGAATTTCGTCAAGCAGAGTGGTTTTTTCCGTCACTTCCTCATCAACACCAGATCTATAAAAAGGTATTAAAATGAGTTTTCAAACTGTCTAATGAATTACAAAATCAGATTTCATCTACCTTTTATTGTCAAATAAAGATTTTAAGAATTTTCTGTAACGTAAACAAAGGGCGGATGCAGCCAAAATATATACCGGTAGGAAATTAATTTTTTATTGACAGAGAGAGAAATAATTCAAATAGAGACATTGGTACCTTCTGAAACACTCTCTTCGGTTTTTCTCGTTTATGCTGTTCAATGAGTAAATTCGCCCTCTCTCTTACTCTCCTTGCATTTAAAATAAAATTAGGGGACGACAGGGTTGATGCGATCTCTGCCCATTTGCTCTTGTCTTTTATGGGATTTTTGGCGACAATTTCCCTCAAAAGCCGAATGCTACTCCACTTTTAAATCGAATTTGTTTTTTCCTCTCAGTATTCATTTTTCCCTATATTTAAAGATGAAAAAATGCATGTAAATATATATATAGAAATTGTGATGATTAAATACATGTATAAGGCTATAAAGAAAAGGGGGAAATATGGTTTATTTTGTATTCTATATTTACTATAATCTTCCAGAAATAACCCAGCTCGTACTAACGATACCCCCCCCCCCCCCAAAAAGAATACTGGAGGGCGATTTGTCCCCTCTTTTGGCTTGTAAAATTTAACATGGATTAAAATAAATAATCTACCTTTGATCATTTTGTTAAAACATGAAAAATAGGGCCTGTATAAGACCAAAATTGCACTTGATCTATAGTTTCAACCAGACGCTCGGCTGTCTCCGTAAATGGAGTCATTCCCGTCTCTTAAATGTTATGCATGAATTTACAGAATATTGACCAACACATGTAACAACAATAAAAATAATAATAATTAGTTCTTAAAGTTATGAAAGTATAAAGAAATATCATAAGAGTCATCAAAACACGTCGGAATCTTTCACGGGTAAATCGAAGTGACGTCATTTCAACAAGTCACTTTATAATCCATTTTAATCAAAATTATTCTATGAATTTGATCAATAAAATCACATAGATGTACGTAATAAATTCTCTACATCACAATAAACCACAGCTGTAAAAGATATATTCTATAATTTAAGTTTAAGAAGCTACAAGTTCTTACCTACGTGTACTTACAGATCCACACGTTGTTTACAACTTGTAGAATTACGCGGTATGCAAAACTGATGACGTAAATCGCAGTAAATTAGGGGATTTCCCTAGCTACACGTACACATAGACGTACACGTTCAGATGCTTAACCTCTCTAATATCTCCACAACTATACTTGGCAAATTTAAGATGGAGTGAAATCTTTTTAGAAATGTGCTGGTATAAAAATGACATGCAAAATTACTCTGTACATGTAAACGGTATTCAAGTGTATACTGTAGATCACTTAATTTTCGCGACAACTTATTTTCGTGAGATAGTCATTGACTCTTTATTAGCGAGACAAAATTTTCACGAATTGTGGTCATCGCTCTATATAATCTTAAAGAATTCTATTATACGCGAGAATGAAATTTTCGCGAGGATACCGTCTCGCGTATTACGCGAAAATAAAGTTCTTGCGAATAAAATGTGATTTACAGTATTTGGATTATGACTGATTTAATCTGTAGAAATCTATAAATAGGAGTACAATATTTTACAGAGTATGCAGGCGTTGGCAGCCCAGGAGACGGGTCTGGTGAATTGTTACTCCCACTACATACAGCTAGAGGGCAGCATTATACAGAGACTAAAGTGGGCAGCTGGAGCTAACCCCTCTCTGAATCTGGTCCTACAACAGTTCGATGAAGCCAGCTCCTATAGAAAACTGCTATATGAGGTCAGTAATAATTACCTTGTCTTCCTCTGATATGCCATTAAAATTATTCAAAAAAGTGTACAATTTATTGGGGGGGGGGGATTTTGAAGAACTTGATGTCTCCCCTCTCCCCGCTGTATGAGGTTGGTAATATTGACTTTGTCTTCCAGTGATATGGCATAAGTATTGTTCAGAATAGGGTGCAATTTTTTTTTGGACGGAGAGGGGGTGGGGGCATTTGATTGAAAATAAATTGATGTTTTCTTGATGATATATTTCTATTGTGATTGTAGGAGGAGAGAAAGGGAGCCACAGAGGTAGTGAGTCTGTGTCAGGGAATACTACACCTGGAGGCCTTGAGGACAAGGACAAGTGAGGCATCAGCCTCAGATACAAACTTCCTCAACCTCATAAACAAGTAAGGAAAACCACTATTAATATCGGTCTCTGTGGTAAAGGAGGTTTTAGAATGAGGCAAATTCTTTTCAATTGCTATAATGAGATTTTCTGGTGATTTTGTAGGTGCAGTGAGACTTGTCTAATGATGGAGTCCACTAACAGCTCTGTCACAGACACAGAAATCTTGCTGATGAGCACAAAGGTAAGTGTCACAACTCACAAGTGTTACACATGGAAACTTATATTCAAGTATACATACTGCTGGTATAATTATTTTTATTGCATGCTTGTTAAAATTTAACTTTCCTTGTCAACTATGCTTATAATGACCAGAATAAAACATTTATTCCTTTATTTTGATTTTTCCAGAGCTCAGGAGAGAACCAGAGGATTGATAAGAAGTGGTTGGAGGAATGTAAGGTGGATGTACAGACTCAGATAGATTCCCTCTGTCAGGAGGCAGACAAACTCCACAAAGATGTGGAGGCAGCCAAGGTCAGTTATAACACCTTAAAAACCAGTGTAAAAAAGGTTTATTTCACATAGAAGAGGGGAGGATTTTGATATAACATATATGTCTATTTATAGGATGCCATAAAGGATGAAGTGATGGCCATTAAGACAATCTTGACCACTCATCATAAGTTAATGTCAGACATACGCACCATTCTCAAGTCCATGTCTAAGGTAAGTTTATAACAACAATCTTGTCATTCTCTAAGTAATGGTTAACTTTACTTAATCAATTATAAATCTTGTAATATTTATATGAAGCTGGAAGAGCAGGATGAAGGGGATTCCCCGGTCTTCAGTGGAATCAGAGAATACCTTGTCGTCTACAAGAACTTCTCTGAGACCCTGGCCATGGTGCTGAAGACTGTTCTGATGGAGGACATGACAAAGGAAGGAATGAAAGAGGCTGACTCCATGATAGACAATCTCCTGACACTGATTCCTCAGTAAGTGTCGGTTAAACAGAAATTATATCACTTCTGTAAAGGATCTAAAAGATGTAATTTTACAGGGGAAAAAAATTTTAAAGTTTTGAAGTTTGACTAAGTTCCTGACATTGAATGATTAATTGTAAGCTGTTCCATTTTCTTTTTTAACAGGATTTTTGATGACCTGGTGAATCTAGCCCCTCCCCTGATATCTGAGGAGGAGGAATCCACAGAAAATCCCACCGACTCCAGCTTTGCTTCAGGTTTGTTGTCAAGGCTTAAAATTTAAGCATTACTCAGCGTTATACTGTAGTTTTAAAATGGGATTTTAGGCAAAATTAGTTGCTCCTAGTCATTACATTATTTTAATGTGCAACTTCACTTTCAGCTTTGAAGAAGCCCCTGGAATCCAGTGAACTGTCCAGCCCTGCCAGTAAACCACTACATAGAGAGGCCTCCACCCAAGCCCTGGGCAGTCCACACGTCAGTCTCATGGCCAAGATTTCAAGTTAGTACCCTCACTTCTCTTTGTACAAATTCTGTATGTTATTTAAATAAGTGAAAGATTTCAGTAATCGTTTAGTTAATTCTGATTGGTTGACCTACTTTGAAAAATGTTACCAAGGTCAGTTTTCTTTTTCAGGTCAAGGTGGGAAGAAGTTGGATAAAATAACCAGAGATCCAAGAACTGGAAAAGGTATCTGTGCTGTGAAATTAATAACATTTCTAACACCAGTGATAATTGATAATCTTTATGTGTTATTATTAAATCATATAATTTTCATTTCAGCCATACAGGAGAGGAATTCCTATGCTGTCAGTGTGTGGAGAAGAGTGAAGATGAAGCTGGATGGCCGTGATCCGGACCTCAACAAACGTCTCTCTGTCGCTGAACAGGTCAGTACTACTACTCGTCATTATCCAAATACAATCAAATCTCAGTATCTCAAACTCAATAGAAATCAGTAAAACCTTGAGAGTTTTGAGATATAAGGGGGTAAAATACTGTAAACCAACTTTTATTCGCGTGCGAGAATTTTTCGCGATGTTCACGAGAGCCTCATCGTCGCGAATATTTCTCGCCGCGAACCGGTCCTCAAGGTCTATTTGCCTATTACTAACAGAACCAAAATAGGCTTGATCGCGAAAATTAATCGTCGCGAACTAGTTTATTCCCAGTAAATCGTGAAATAAAGTCGTCGCGAATAAAAGTTGGTTTACAGTACTTCAAGAATAAGTGGTAGGGGGCTTCCAAATCACTTTGACATATCCATGGTACACAAGATATCAGTTCAACTGTACATTGCATAGAGACTTTGTGTTGTTTCTTTTCTACTGTCATATGTGCGTGTTAAAATGATCCCTATATTTTGGTTTTGTAGGTGGACTTTGTTATCAAAGAGGCCAACAACCTAGATAATCTAGCTGTCCTGTACGAAGGTTGGACACCCTGGGTATGAACTAGCCTTAAAAACCGCAAGATTCTTGCCGGCTAAAACTGCTCCATAATCCAACACCCTTACCCCACAGTGCTGCTACTGTGAAGGAGAGGCGTGAGTCGTATAGACACCAGAGGGTACACCATCTACATAGAGAAGCTCAACAAATAAAGACTCAGGGCCCGGCCAGAGGGCCTGCTAAAAATGAGTCTGTTCAGCTTTTCACATGGGGGTGGGGTCAAAGCCAGTGGCACCAAATTCTGCACTCAGCAGAGATGCGTGCTGGGTAATTTTTGTGAAAAGGATGACAAGGATTCTTAGTATACAGTGCAACATTTTTGCCTGTTTGATGAATTGATCCATAGTTTACTGAGCATGTTAATGCATTTAAATGAAATATCAGTTATGCCATATATTTTATTACATTGTTATGCTCTCGTGACTTTGCAGAGATAACTTTGGTCA